CCTCTGTCCCTGGTGCTAATGCCTCTGTCCCTGGTGCTAATGCCTCTGTCCCTGGTGCTGATATTGACCACTCCTTTAACCATTGAAGTTTAAAAATATAGATAATTTTGTACATACTGTAAAAAAGTGTTATCCCAGATCATTTACCATATTATTTTAGGATGATATAGTTTGATCTTCTGATATGCGAATCTGTATGTTAAATACACTTTTGGTTAATCATAATCTGATGATATAATTAGATCATGTAATGCATTGATATTGCCTATCCTGCACTTGTGTTTCAAGTTCAACCAAACAAAAAAACTGTGTAGGTGTAAGTGCTGTTGTGTGGGGGGTCAGTGGGAGTCAGTATAGAGGTAATTTAAAGTGAATTCACTTTAAATTTAGCTCAGGGTTAGGAATATACTTGTAATTGTAAAGTTAAGATAAATGTAAGACAAAATGCAATAAGCAAAATGAATGTAAATCAATGCAGCATTGGATTTATCTTAATATAAAAAGAAATACAATGCTTTGTGTGCACAGGTGGGGGCGGGGTCACATTATTTCTTAATTCTGAGCTATGTTTATTTTTTTCTTTAATCTGCTGAAAAATATCACTTATTCGTTGACATAATGTTTTGTTTTATTTAATGATTCCATATTTTTAATCTACTGAACATAAAGATATATCATGATGAAGGATGGATATTATTATCAAATTAGAGGTGAAAATGTAGATGCATAAAAAATGGTACGTAGAATTTTCTGACTGCTCTGTTCTTTAAAACTGAAAAGTGTTATGACGTGAATGAAATGGTCTGCAGTATTTTAAAAAATTACGTGATTATTTAGTGTAGTGACAACTGTTTAATTTTACTTTGACGATAATGCATTAATTAAGTTATCTTATATTTTATTGAAAAAGGTTTCTTTTTAATTTTATCTATATATTTTTTGACTCATTATATTTTAACGATACTCACGGTGTCGCTATAGACCAGCAACGTGTTCAGCTACCAGCGGTCTTTGCACACGATCCATTAGATGGGGATTGTTTGTTCTCTGTTCTTTAGAGCTGGAGAGACGACGTGGAATGCTAAAATCGTGATCGGAAATATAAGTTTCATCGGTGGATACCCGCATTCTTATATTGATAATTAAGGTAACTGGTAATGGCGCGTGAAGGTTTTCTTCAGAGGATTTACGGTGTTCTCTTTGTCTTTTTTGTGGCACAACGCACAAAGGGAGACCTGACCTATTCCGTTCAAGAGGAGCTAAAAAGAGGATCTATCATCGGAAATATCGCCAGGGATTTAGGACTGGAATCACTGGGAATCTCTGCTCGTAAAGCCCGCGTTGAAATGGAAGGAAGCCAGAAGGAGTATATCAGAGTTGATTTGAGAAACCAAGATTTAGTGGTAACCGAAAGAATAGACAGGGAGGAGCACTGTGGACAAAACCCGAATTGTATTCTCAAATTTGACTTGCTTTTAGAAAATCCACTGGAACTGCATCGATTGTCCCTTCAAATACAAGATATAAACGATAATTCCCCGGTGTTTCAGAAGGATTCCGTCAAACTGGAAATCAGCGAAATTGCTCTCAAAGGGTCCAGGTATCGCATTAATGCTGCGCATGATGCAGATATAGGCCAGAATGCGGTTCAAAGTTACATCCTGCAACAAAACGCTAATTTTGTGTTCAATATGCAGACAACCAATGCTGGTAGTAAATATGGAGAGTTAGTCTTAAATAAAGAATTAGACCGGGAAGAGCAGCACGAGCTGAATTTATTACTGACAGCTGTGGATGGTGGATCTCAACAGAGATCAGGGACTGTAGTCATAAAAGTCACTGTGCTCGATGCTAATGATAATGCTCCCTTGTTTACTGAGGCCGAGTACAAAGCCAGCTTACATGAAAATGCTCCTTTAAATACTCCAGTAATAACAGTGAGTGCAAAAGATGCAGATGAAGGTCTAAATGGTGAGGTGACATATGAATTTGGCCGGATATCTGAAAAATCCGAAAAGCTGTTTTCACTTGATGAAAAAACGGGAGAAATAGTTGTAGCAGGCGAAATAGACTATGAAGAAGGATCTAAATATGAACTTATGATTGAAGCCAAAGACGGTTATGGTCTGTCTTCAGAAGCTAAAGTGATTATTGATATCACTGATGCAAATGATAACGCTCCAGTGATATATTTAAAATCCTTGTCCAATCCCATACCGGAGAACGTGTCACCTGGTACAGAAGTGGGCATCATTAACGTGCAGGACAGAGACTCTGAGAGAAACAGAATGGTGCGCTGCTTTGTCCAACAAAATGTTCCTTTTAAATTGGTTCCCTCGATTAAAAACTACTATTCACTGGTGACGGCAGGTCAGCTGGACCGTGAATTAGTGTCTGAATACAATA